ATTCAAGGATAAAGAAGCTAAGAGTTAAAAAAAGATATGTACATGAGTCTTATTTACATGTGTACAGAATATACTTATAATATGAGCATGAGCATAATATGAGTAGCAGCAAAAGCACCTCAGGTGGACATTCAAACAGGTGCTAATGCCCTCAAAGACTATGGCTGTGTCTGAAATGGATCCCTAACCCCTATATAGGCGACCATATGGGGGTTAGCGCCATTTTTAGGGGTTGTCCCAAACCTCAGTGATCAATTACAATGCCCCGTATAGGTGACTCAAAATTTCCCATAGCGCATTGCAAAATGTAGTGACCATCCGATGGTCACTCACCGGTGGTGGGCATCCCGTCATGCATTGTGTCTCCAGCGGCAACTCAAAGAAAGCAAGAAGAGACAGAACCTGAGCTCTACTTGCCGTTTTCAGCGCAAGTTTTTTATCTTCACTTCACTCGCAAGTGATCCGTACAGTTTTTGAAAAACAATCGTTTGCTGCGTCATATAGTCTCGTGCACAACATGACGCAGCAAACAATATGCACGAAAATATAAGGCCTTTTAAATAGATTATTATTTTTTTTTATTTCACAAACATTCTGGAAAAACAAATACATCTATACAACATCATAAAATTCAAGAGATGTGAAAACAACAGCTGCAACTTCAGATGCGGCAGGCTGAGCAGTGACGTCACAACGGTGCACCATGTAGTGTCTGAAACATCCACTGATTGAGTTCACTACATAGTCAGCTACATTGAGTGATTTATTCCGGACACAGCCTAAGTTGCAGCCTTTACAGGCTAGGGTGATTACTTTTATTCCAGTTTGTCATTTAGACCCATCAGTGTGTGCAAACAGAGCCCAGGTTTAAGAACACTAAAATTCCTGCTGAATTGAAGGTTGTATCTCAAAGTCTGATCTGTCTTGTGTTTCTCTTTGTCTCTGTGTCTCAGCTCGTAAACAGGAGATCATCAAAGTCACTGAGCAGCTGATCGAGGCCATCAACAATGGAGACTTTGAAGCCTACACGTCAGTGTGACTACTTTGTCTGATTTTGTATAAGTATATGTCGGATACTTTTGTATGTCTGACTTACGTTTGTTTTACAATTTCAGTAAGATATGTGACCCCGGCCTCACGTCCTTTGAGCCTGAAGCGTTGGGTAACCTGGTGGAGGGCACCGACTTCCACCGCTTCTACTTTGAGAATGGTAAAAGTTTCTGTTTCAAGAGGTGGTGTGAAACTTAAGCAACACAACATGAATTTATGATGTGAAAAAATATATATATATAAATATCAGGTTTGTTTTAGACCAGTGGTTCTCAGGTCCAGTCCTCGAGGCCCACTGTCCTGCATGTTTTGAATGTTTCTCTGCTCCAACACACCTGATTCAAATGATCAGCTCGTTATTAAGCCATGACAGCGATAACGAGCTAATCATTGGAATCAGGTGTGTTGGAGCAGGGAAACATCCAAAACATGTAGGACAGTGGGTCTCAAGGACTGGACTTGAGAACCACTGTTTCAGAGGTACTGAGCTGACTGATGAACCCATGAGTTTCTCGGCAGTAATCTTAATCCCGCCCACATTTTCTTACATATGCCTCTGGATTGTTTTTGGCCCTGCTGATGTGATAATACATAAATGAGTGTGAATTATTGTTTATTGACCGTCTGTGCTCTCTCTCCTTTTGCAGCTCTGACCAAGGGGAAGCTGCCCATCCACACCATTCTGCTCAACCCCCACGTGCACCTGATCGGGGACGAGGCCGCCTGCATCGCCTACATCCGCCTCACCCAGTATATCGACAGGGACGGCATGCCTCGCACCATGCAGTCAGAGGAGACTCGCATTTGGCACCGCCGGGACAGCAAGTGGCAGAACATCCACTTCCATCGCTCCGGCTCGCCCACTGTGCCCACCAAGTAAGGTCCTCACTTTGTACTCGCCTCGAACCCCACCCCGATTCACCTCCAGGACTTTGATGAACCTTTGAGTTATTTGTTTTCTACTTCTCCCTGAAATCTGTGATCTTATCTTAACGTCTGTATTTTGTGTGTTTCAGTTAAGGAGACGGTTTTTGACCACAAACACCCTCCAGCCTACAGCAGCCAGCTGAACAGACCCCGCCTACCAAATGTCCTACAGATCCTTCAGCCAATCCCTGCCCCTTTGTAGCTAGAGCTCCGCCCACTCGGTGTGTTGTTTACATATTGTCGCTGCTGGACTGAAGACCATTGTACATGTTTGGGACATTAAAAAAGAAAAAGCAGTTTAGAGGATATCATTTTCTAGTGCGAGTGTGTGGTGTTCATTACCAGGTAATATTGGCAGCATGTTTTTTCAATCAGTAACTTTCAAACAGTCAGTGGTTTCCAGAGGAGCCAGCTCATTTCTAACAGGCTGGTGGATTATGTTAGACTCCAGTCATCATGTAGTGGCAGTTTTTCATTTGAATATTGCACATGTGATGTTTTATTTTTGACCAATATATCACATATCTGCTTTTTACTCCTGTCTCTCTTTTTTGAACGGCATCCCTCAGAGCTCTGGCGTAGGCTTGCTTCTGTTCTGGTGATGTAAAGATTTTGGTGATTGATGTAAATCGCTCTCTTTAACGGTAACCACATGAGCTTGAGTTTGCTAGTTTTACATACCTGTTTTCTGGCACCAAATATGTTTACTAGGAATTTTAACTACATGTTTAAAAGGGAAACATTTGACTTCATTCGTTTAGACCTCCATAATTAGTTTTCAGCTAGAATGTAAAACTTTAGAGAAACGTTCAGAGTCTTTAAGGCCGTTCTGTGATTCCTTCCAGTCGAATCATATTTATACAATAAGGAGTTAATTATGTGAATTTTATCAATTGTTCAATTTTGTTGTGTTTACTTTTTATATTGTGATACTGATGCTTGTCCCTTATATGATTAATGCTTTCCTTGAGCCCTGGTTGGTGATACTTCCTGTTATTTTCTGCTTGACTGATGTATGTCGATATTTTCCACTGTCACAAACAGCAGCAGGACCCGGGTGTTCAAAAGGTTTAATCTGAATTATAAAATCCTGGTTGGGAGTTCACTCTAGCACCAACAGTTGTCAGTGACTTGCGAAAAACCCCTTCGGCTGATCGTGTGTCTTAAACTTAGTCACTTTTCAACCAAAATAAACTTTTCTAAAGCAGTTCAGGTCATCGGGAAAACTGCATGCTGATTGGCTGAGGCAGCACAGGTATTCACTGTTCAGGTTGAATTGTGTAATCTGCAGAGGATCATCACCTCATTTAGGTTTATTAACTACGTCAGTTTAAGGTAAACAGGTTGACATTTCTTTGGCGTGCCGCCGTCTGCGCCTGCTTTTGCCCTCCACACAGACCTTGATCCTTACATACACCACAACCTGCTGGTACATGATTGGATAATACCTCCAGGGTTATAAAATGGGAATAAGCACGAGTACTATAGTTTTCCTGAGGTCTGAACGGGACTAGTAATGCAAACTTTGTCCACAGGAGGGTGCCAAATCCACAAAGTTAAAAAACACAGACCTAGGGCAAGTTTGAATACCTGATCTTATCAGATTTAGTTATTGTTGGGGTTATTTTTTCAGCCTTTTATACAACATGATTTAAAGATCTGGTCTAACCCAGTCAGATTACTTTTGAACAAGCAGGTCCTGGTTTTATACCGGACGACTTTTAGGTAAATATAAACATAACACTGACACTGAAGGGAATGCCAAATTAAAGCCAAACGTCAGTGCTAAAATAAAAGTTCCCTCCACACATTTTGGCACCAAAACTAAAGTCATTAGTTTGCATAAATGAAGAGAAAATCACCACTATGGTCCACTGTTTAGATATTTAGAGTCACTGTTCATCTATGGGTTATGGGGATCGTTTGCGTCATTTAAAAGTTCATATTTTCAAAGACTTGAGGTTAGGGAGTTTATAAAAAGTTTATCTAAAGGATGAAAAAGATGTACTTATATTATAAAAGCAGTCACAGGGTGAACTGAGACTTCTTGGTTTATCTCATATTACATTTTGTTCATATCTTATTAAGAAGTGTCGATGGGACACTGCTATATAATGTTACCATGATGGGACAAGCCTGATGTATGTTTAAGAAATATCAAATAAAATGTGTGATTTATGCCAATGGGTTTTTGTTGTAGTTTTTTTTTTTTTTTTTATGATCAAATAACTGACAGCTTTAATAACATCCCTCAGGGCACACCGTGATACTATTTGTGTGTAAATTATCGCTTCATTTTTAAAAGAGAGGAGAAACTACTGAACATGTTTCCTACCTGACAGATACTCAACTCATAACTGCATTTATAACCACAAGAGGACAACATAAAGTAAAATCCTGATTAATCTTTCCCGACTAAAACCCTCTTTTAAGAAGTGGAAATCTTTGACGTTGGCAGGTCACAATATTGAAAAAATTACCCTGGTACTTTGTTTGTGTCATTCTACATTATTGAGTTTGTTATATATGATTTTTATTTAGTATCTACAGTTTATTTCTACGTCAAGGATGAATTTTTTCCACATCACTTTGTTTACCTGTCTGAAACTTGTTCCTGCTGTCTTCATCCGGAGTCAAATACAGCAGCTCAGGCGTCAGAGAAAGAGGCAAAAAAAAAGAGACAGCGTGGTCAGTAAAAAGGTCTTTAAATTACTGTAACTTTTGACAAATCAGGTTGACAAATATTCTGGAAATATTCCGAATTATGAGATCAAGACAAATCTAATGGGACCAAAATAATTTTCAATCAACCGTTATACTAAGTTATTTTAACTGCATAGATGACTAAAACTGAAGCCGACAGCTGCTCCAAGACGACTGTGACATGTATATATTTTAATAATATATAATTACATATATATATTTTACAAAGAATAACACAGAGGAATCAGAGGTTATTTCAACAAAAGGAAAAAATAAACCAGCAACCCATCTCTGAACAAAAGTATATATCTGATCTGTCGTTAAAATAAAGACATTTGCAGAAGCTTGTACTTACTTTCTTCATCCTCAGTGTCCAGGAAGAGCTAAGGAGACAAAGAAAGAGGAGAGGAAAAAGTAAGATAAAAATCATTTAGGGAAAAGTTCTGGATGATTTCATGTCAGATTTAAAAGTTTGTACTTACTTTCTTCGTCGGGGGTGAACCCCCGACGCTCAGGTGGGGGGAAAAAAAGGATATGAAACAGTTAGTAACACTGACAAACACTCTTCAAATTATAATGACTGCATGAAGAAACCCCAATTAATCGACTCCTCAGTGTTTCAGTCACTCATTTTAAGTCTCTGATTATTTAAACTGTTTAAACTACAAAATAAAAGTTTTTTAAAAATATGACAGTCTCTAGAGCCCTTTGTTGAGCAAGATCTGTGTGAAAACTCGTGTTAGCTTAGCTTGTTTAAAAAGGTTTGTACTTACTTTCCACGTCAAGGGTGAACCTCGACGCTCATTGTGGGAGGGGGGAGGATATGAAACAGTTAGTACCATTGACAAAACAAAAATAAAAGTTCAAGTTTTTTAAAAATATGAATGTCTCTAGAGGCCTTTGTTGAACAAGATCTGTGTGAAAACTTGTGTTAGCTAAGCTTGTTTACAAAAGTTTGTACTTACTTTCTCCGTCAGAGGTGAACCCCGACGCTCAGGTGGAGGATATGAAACAGTAAGTACCACTGACAAAACAAAAACAAAAGTTTAAGTTTTTATAAAAATATGACTTTCTCTGGAGGCTTTTGTTGAACAAATGATCACAACTTTGGACTTACTTTTGTCCTCCATGGTGCATACATGGTGGAGCCCTCCCATGGTGTCCTCTGCTGATCCAGGTCTTGGTTGGTCGTCCTTCAGCTCCATCTCACTCTGTGGTCCATATGGGAGGGGGGGTCCACTATCCCTAAAACACAAAAAAATCAAAGTCCCGGTGCAAGACGCAACCTGGGACACTAACAGCCCTGCCAGTCGCAAAGGCAATAAAGGGTCCATATCCCTAATCAAAGTCCCGGTGCCAGACGCAACCTGGGACACTTAGAGCCCTGCCAGTCGCAAAGGCAATAAAGGGTCCATATCCCTAAAATATTAAGAAATAAAGGGTCCACTATCCCTAATCAAAGTCCCGGTGCCAGACGCAACCTGGGACACTAACAGCCCTGCCAGTCGCAAAGGCAATAAAGGGTCCATATCCCTGAAGTATGAGGACTTAAGGGGTCCTGGAGACACTACTCAGGGAATCCCTGCCAGATGTAAAGGCTTGTCCTCGGGGTCCATAAACGGTCCGTTTTCCCTGCCCTCAGAGGTCCTGGTCCAAGATGCTCCTTGGATCCAAAAGGACAAACCAGACGTGGAGGTAGTCCTTCCTCAGTGGAGAGATGGTTGGATGGTCCTAGGTCTCCTGGCTGGAGGTCCCTCCTCGTCGCTGTCCTCCCAAGCCCTGCGCCTCCTGACTCCAGAGGTTGACGGAGCCACAGGGTATCCTCGGACAGTGCTGTCACGAGGACCAGAGTTAGGATCCTCATCAGTGGGGAACTGAGAGCCCTCCCACTCATCAGGATCCCGAGGGTGAAAAAGAGGAGAAGGAGGATAAAGATTAAGAACAGGAGAAGCAGGAGGAGAAGGAGAAGGAGAGGGAAGAGGAGGAGAAGGAGGAACACAGGGAGGAGAAGGAGAAGTAGAGAAAAGGGAAGGAGAAGGAGGAACAAAGGAAAGAGAAGGAGAGGGAAGAGGAGGAGAAGGAGGAACAAAGGAAAGAGAAGGAGAAAGAGAGGGAAGGGAAGGAGAAGGAGGAACAAAGGAAAGAGAAGGAGAGGGAAGAGGAGGAGAAGGAGGAACAAAGGAAAGAGAAGGAGAGGGAAGAGGAGGAGAAGGAGGAACAAAGGAAAGAGAAGGAGGAACAAAGGAAAAAGAAGGAGGAACAAAGGAAAAAGAAGGAGAAAGAGAGGGAAGGGAAGGAGAAGGAGGAACAAAGGAAAGAGAAGGAGAGGGAAGAGGAGGAGAAGGAGGAACAAAGAAAAGAGAGTGACAAGAAGGGAAAAGGGAAGGAGAAGGAGGAACAAAGGGAGGAGAAGGAGCAACAGGAGGGGCAGGAGCAGCAGGACCTGGAGGATGAAGGTAAGGGAAATAAGGAGGAGCAGGAGCAACAGGAGGGGCAGGAGCAGCAGGACCTGGAGGATGAAGGTAAGGGAAATAAGGAGGAGCAGGAGCAACAGGAGGGGCAGGAGCAGCAGGACCTGGAGGATGAAGGTAAAGGAAATAAGGAGGAGCAGGAGCAGCAGGACCTGGAGGATGAAGGTAAGGAAAATAAGGAGGAGCAGGAGCAACAGGAGGGGCAGGAGCAGCAGGACCTGGAGGATGAAGGTAAGGGAAATAAGGAGGAGCAGGAGCAACAGGAGGGGCAGGAGCAGCAGGACCTGGAGGATGAAGGTAAAGGAAATAAGGAGGAGCAGGAGCAGCAGGACCTGGAGGATGAAGGTAAGGAAAATAAGGAGGAGCAGGAGCAACAGGAGGGGCAGGAGCAGCAGGACCTGGAGGATGAAGGTAAGGGAAATAAGGAGGAGCAGGAGCAACAGGAGGGGCAGGAGCAGCAGGACCTGGAGGGGGAGGGTCAGCAAGGATAGATGCAAGATCAGCAAGAAGACGTTCAGCACGAGCAGAATCAGAGAGAGGAGGTGCAGGAGCAGAAAGACCAGAGGGAGCGGGAGCGGGAGGGGGGGTAGGAGGCGCAGGAGCTGTAGGTGGAGCAGCAGACAAGGGAGGAGCAGCAGGATCAGCAAGTGGGTGGGCACCACCTGAGGAAGAAGAAGTGACATCAGGTTAAAATCTAAACCGACTGAAACACGAGGTCTGAAGGTCTGAAGATCAAATCTTGAAGTTTGACTTTCAGTCGTCACAAATCAATGAGAACTGCAGCAGATTGATGACGACAACTCAAAGAGCAGACAACAACAAAGAGAAACACTGGGACAGCTTCACTGATCTCATCATGGACACACACTTTTGACTCCCACTGTCACTCAGCAGCTCTGAATGTGACCCATGAAGACCCTGATCTGCAGCTTTTGAACTGTAAAGTGAGTCTGATTTAAGCTGCTTTAGAAACTTCCAGAGATTATTTGTTCATACATCACACAATCAGAAAATATGAGTGTCCTCTGACACTGAGAACAAATAAAACAGGAAAAAGAAAAGACCAAAAACATTTATTAACACAATCATCAACAATAAATAAGACAAAGACAAAATAGTTCAACCAGGAAAGACTCAAATGAAATATTTAAACTTAAGTAGAATCATTGATAGAGGAGGCTTTGAAAGTTGACATTCAAAACATTCGAAACATCTTTTATATTTCTCAACCTGATTAAATGTTATCATAAAAAATGTCTCATTGCATCAAGTTTTAATTGAATTTTGACGCATCTTAAACAAGGAGAGGATACAGACACATTTTGGCGTTTCAGTGATTAAGCTGATATGAGGTTTTCTTTAATAGAGAGGTGTAAACTGTCTGTACAAGAAATCTACACCTGCCTTCAGTTTACAACAACCCGCCTCATACACGGAGATGTTACCAAAGGTTCACTGATGTGTAACTGAGGTCCGTGTGTAATAAGATCAAATCCAGCTTTGTAGTACAGGCCTCAGGCCTCTTTAAACTTTGCCCAATCTTGGCCCAATCTTTGACCAGTCTTTGCATGAACAACATGCTGCAGGGTCAGAGCTGACACGCTGCCTATGGCGAGCGCTTTTAATTTTCTTGGCAGTGGCATCTGGTAAAATAAATTAAGATGACTCAAATTGATACATGAAAGTTAATAAATTGCTAACAATGGCATAAATACCTTAAGTGAAATGGCATGCTTTTAATATTTTATTTCTTATTTTGCAAAGAGATGAACTAACCATTATTTCAGAAATATTAGCAAAATGACTCATCAAATAACAAAAAAAATCAAAATAATACTAAAAATTAAGTACTTAGTGTTTATCAATCATCAATTGAGTATAAAAAGCATAAATACTGCCAATCTAGGGCATATATTTATGATGGAAAACAATCTGCAGTGGTTGCACCACATGATAATTGGTCGCACCGCATGACATTTTCAAGTTCAGTCAAATCTTACTGATACAGGATTAGCCACAGAAACAAAGCTCACTAGCTTCCCACAAAAGGTCACTATGAAATTTATAATTAAAACACATATTTGTGGAAATAAATTAAATTTTTTTTTGAGGTCATATCATATGACATCCAAATGTGGCAACGCCATTACAGCAGTTGAAAAGGTCTTTTTTTTTTTAAAGAAATGAAAGCGCCACCAACCCTCTTTCTGCTTCCATAGCTGTATAACAAAATGGTGAATGATGCAACTTCCTGACCTTGAGTAAATATTAGCATAAAAGTGTCAAAAATGGTCAATTCTTGATGGTCGCACCACATATTTAATGAAATCGACACAATCGGACAAAATTTGTTTGTATATTATGAAAAAAATATAACTGCAAAAGCTTTGCAATTTTGTACAGGAATGAAAAATTTTGGAAATTATGCCAAATACTGCAGAAACTAAATTGTAATAGATTCTGAGTAATTTCAAAGAAGTTTTCAAAACAAAAGTCATGGCTGGACGGTCGCACCACATGATATTTTGACACTTTGAAGTTCAGAAAAATTACAAAAAACTCCTGATTTTTGAAAAGCTGAAGTGGCTCCATATATTAGAGAGATACTACACATAGATAGTATATATTTTTTTTACATTTAAAAGTTTTTGTAACTTGAAGAACATACAGCAGGACAGCATATTTAGGCATCACGTCATTGACCCAAATACAACATGAACCAGTAACACACACATAAATACTTTTTTCTAGTACTTTACGAAATCAAACAGTCCGGCCATAATGGTAAGAAAAGCTCTCTGCAGAGGAGTGCATGTACATTCATGTGTCTCCATAAACCTCTCTAAAGGTTCCTCCATGGTTCAAATTAAAACATGACGTTCCATTGGCTCAGGCGCCATCTTTGTTTCATTAAATATCGACAAGAATCGATGTTTTTAAAATAATATACTTGTAAATACAACTGTTTCACATCAGCACACAATTTTGTCAACAATTCCAACATTTTTTCAGAGGGGAACCATAAAATTTCTGATAAATAAAACCATTTCACAACATATGTCTGTTCCCATAAGTAGCTTTGTCAAATCTGATAACATTTCGATCTTTACCCTCAATGTTTCGATTAAATAAACAGTATTACTAAGCAAAAAGCTTTTAAATAGTAAAATTCAGCTAAATGGGAGAGTTTGTTGTATTTGAAAGATTCTCACTTGTGAACCTGCTCAGCCATCGTCCGACCCGGGTCAGGAGACTCTCCATCGCAGGGGTCTGCCCGAAGCCGTCTTATCCCGCCGGAAACTTGTGGTAAACTTGATGTTCAGATGTTCGGATGTTCAGATGTTCGTCTTTCGGGAGGTCCAGGTGCTTTATCTCACGTTGAAGTTGAAGGTTTTCCAAGATAATCCAAGATAATCGCTGTTTGCCAAAGATACTTGCAGTACGCTCAGTAGCTCAGTGTGTTTTGATCTGAAAAATGTCGAATATTCGGAGTTCTAAGGTTACCATGGCCATCAGTGACGCGCGTGCATTAGTGAATAGGAAAATGTTATATTCAGTAAATCTGCCTGAATAAGTCTGAACTGATGAAAATCCTTTAAGTAAGAGTTTCCATTAACTAGGATTAATATTAATTTAAATAAAAAAATAACTAAAAATGTTTCAAATGTGACATTAAAAATTAACATGAGATTCACTTCGTTTCTTCATGAAGACCAAAAGAGGGCCATTAATGT